GTGGTTTAAAAAAAAAAAAAAAAAGGAAAGAAAAGACATGACCACGTGCGGGACGTCAGTTTGGCAGAACTATTCGGGAAAAAAATAAAAAATTAAAAAAACTTTGGCAGAACTATCTGCGTCATCAACGCGCAGGTTAATTTGTTGCAAAAACATTTTCCCTCCGTGCGGATCGCGCGGTCACTTTCACCGTCCCCTGGCCCGTGTCATTGTAGGAGGTTCCCTTTTAAGCCCTGGGTGTCCCCCATTGGAGGTTCCCTGAAGGCAACAAGGCCACTCAGATTAGACAGAAGATGGAATTTAGAGAAAACTACGGCGCAGTCAGGGATTGAGTTTGTAATTGCACTGGAGGCGAAAGGGCCGGACATGCAGGGTTTGGTGTTCAACAGTGGATGGACGGTTTCGTTTCAGTGTTGTGTACTTAGGGTTTCGGCATACTTCTTTGTGTTCGTTTTGTTGAGCTTACTCTACGATGTGAGGGATGCCGGACCCGTTTTCCGGCTTTTATAATTCAGCAGCAGCCGTCGTATGAACCAGGCGGGAGTGCCTGGATCATACGATATTTGGCTGCCTTTAAAAAAACAAAAACAAAAAAGAGGGCCGGTAATGCTGAATGTATATGACCTACGTTTGGGGTCCGGTGGGGTCGCGTGGGGGTGTGTTGTATTCGCGGGATTGCCTGAAGTGCAATTACAAACTGTTTTGGTGACTGCGCCGAATTTACCCCTTGAATTTACCTGGGCTGGCTAGTCGGATGGTAATACCTCAAGGCCATCGTCCTTTGGGAAAAAAAAAAAAAAAAAAAAAAAAAAAAAGGATTACCTTTCCAAGATTCGCTGCTCCAAGAGAGGGCATTCAATTCAATTTCCTTTTTTTTTTTTTTTTTGTTTGTTTCTTTTGATTCGTTTCAGCATGGGCCGTCTCTTCTGCAAGTGATCAACAACAGCGATCACCCGAAAATAAAATAAACATAAATAAATAAATAAAAGCCACACGTGATTTGCCGCACGTGATGGACACGGAGGTCTCGACGTAGCACTACTTCGCAGTGGGTCCTAGCCCCAGTGGACGTAATTGCCATGAGATACGGGGAAAAAAAAGAAAAAAAAGGACGCGGACGCAGTTGCTGTGTGAGATTCAGGTGTGCGAGTACGCCCTCAGACATGACGATATGTGGCCCCTCCCCCAAAAAAATAAAAAAATGTGGGTATCAGAATGATTTTATTCTCTCTTAATGTGTGGGTATCAGAATGATTTTATTCTCTCTTAATGTGTGGGTATCTGTATCCGGACTCGGGCTTGAGGAAGTATTTCAACAATACATGGGTGTACCGACTGAGCTGATCGCTATTAAAGCCATACTAGCTGAATGCATGTGACGTCAATTACGTCCAGAGATAACAGCCATACCTGAATGCATGTGACCTCAATTACGTACGCCTGGAGATAACAGCCATACCTGAATGCATGTGACGTCAATTACGTACGTCCGGAGATAACAGCCATACCTGAATGCATGCGAGATCAATTACGTCCAGATATAACAGCCATACCTGAATGCATGTGACCGCAATAAAGTCCAGGATCAGTCGGCGAAGTCGTGGTGCATGTCACTCGCGTCCTGAATTAGCCCTGGGTGTTCATCATAGTTTCCTCTTTCCCCCGAACACAACGCACCTTCTTTTTCACAACGCACCCTCCATTTGGCTTTACGGGACCAGAAGGGTAACTTGTGTGCAAAAAAAAAGAAAAGAAAGAAAAAAAGGTAAGCGCACGCAGCTTATGGATGCACACAAGTCACCCGTTTTTTTTTTTTTTGCAGACAAGTGACATTGCACAGTCAATATGGAAAAACTATGATGAACACCCAGGCCTAATTCAGGACGCGAGTGCCATGCACCACGACTTCGCCGACTGATCCTGGACTTCATTCCGGTCACATGCATTCAGGTATGGCTGTTATCTCTGGACGTAATTGACGTCACATGCATTCAGGGTTTGCTGAAACACCATCACGGAGGGAGTTGGTGTTTTAGGGTAGGTAACGTAGGGGGTGGAGTGATCTGCTTTGAATCGCGAGGAGGTGGGTGGGTTTGCGGGGTCTGTGCTTACAGATCCCTGCCCCGCCGGTGGCAGAGTGGATCTGCAGGGTTG